TTTAACTATGTGAGGTGATAAATATTAACTTTGTGTTAACCATTTTGTACTACAACTTATATCAAACCATTATATACCTTAAACTTGCACAATCTTATCTCAATTATATCTCAATAAATGTTGGGGGGAGGGAAGAAAGTAAAATTTTTATTATTTACATGAAATGTTCCCTTTCTACTTAATTTTTTTCAGTTCCTTTATACAGGCCTCTTGAGAATAGGTGTTCCTACCAGTGAGATGGAGCTAACTACAAACCAGCAGATGTTCCTCCCTAACTGATCCTTCTCAACTGTCCTTCTCTGTCCATTTCAGGTGGTATTTTATTTTTCTGAAAAATGTAACTGCCTTTTCTTCATTACCAATTTCATTTTCCATTTTCAACCTCTGATGAGCCTCCAAAGACTAATATTTTTCACTTTGTGGGTATAAGGACCGCACTGCAAGATATGCTTTCTTTTTGAATGCCAGCCCAATGCAGCTATCTATATAGTTTACAGAACCACACGGAACATTTTTCTGCTATGTGGCTATGCCTTTGCAGCAGAAACATACCTGTTATCACTTTTTTTTTTTCTGACAAAATGCAGTTTTAGTTCATGAGACAAGCACTGGATAGAATTTGCTACTTTTTCAACAACATTGAACAAATATTGATTGTCTACCATGTACTGAACACTGTTGTGAAGATTCAGAAGTTATAAAACAGGTAAAAAGTCTTATTTTCATGGCCCTTATATTCTAAACAGACAGAACAAAAAATAATTATGATTTATATAATATGCTGCATGGTGATAGGTGCTCTGGAAAAATAGAGAGGAGAGAATGCCTAGGGGTGCTTGCAATTTTTAAAGATATCCAGCCCAGCCAGTGTGGCTCAGTGGTTGAGAGTCTACCCATGAACCAGGAGGCCACGATTCAATTCCTGATCAGGGCATACACCTGGCTCTCGTGGGCTCGATCCTCGGTAGAGGGTGTGCAGGAGACAGCCAATCAGTGATTCTCTCCCATCTTTGATGTTTCTATCTCTCTCCCTTTACCTTCATATCTGAAATCAATTACATATATATGTATGTATGTATGTATATAAAACAATACAAATGTTTTCAGAAAAGCTGTCACTGTGAAGATGGTGACATCTGAGTAAAGACCTGATGGGAATGAGAAAGTCGTGTGGATATCTGGGGCAAGAACTTTTCAGGCAAAGGGAATACCTACTGCAAAGGTGCATGTAGGCTGTCAAAAGCTGTCAGAAGTTTTACTCCAAGCATCTGCCAGGAGCAAAAATTCAGGCAAGGCTTTTCTTGTTGTTGCTATAAAGAATCCACCTACATTGAGAGCTTAATCAGCTTAAGATGAACATCAGTGTGGATCTGTTTAGTGTTTTCTCTCAAGCCATGACCTCACTGCTAATACTGACAGCCTCTTAGATTCAGATGGGCTTTGGATGAACAGCCTGGCAAACCTGAGTGAAACGAGAAGAGACATTTTAGTAGCTCTGTAGGCCCAATGTTGTTTTGTTTTGTTTTTTGTTTGTTTTTATCTCATCCCCTCTTCACATGGGGCTGCATATTAATCAAATGTAGCCAATGATTCCAGGTTTTCATTTAAACCTAAAATGTAGTCCATTACCAGTAATAAACTAGGAAGTATGCATAATATAATTTTACCTCGGATTGCTACTGAGACAAAGTTATTTCCTATGCCACCAAATTGTGCTTTCAATGCTGTCTTCTAGTCAGGACAACACAGTAAAGAGATCTTACTAACATTAAGTCTTACTGGTATGTAGACTTTCCAGAGACCGTTACAATAAACAGATAATGTGTGCTGAGCCTATCTCACAGCTAGCTTAGTAGGGTTACAATGCTCTTATAGCCAAGCAATCCACACCTCTTTCAAAGGTGTTTCCAATAGCATTGAGAATATTTCCTAAAGTTTCTATTATCTCCCTGGGGTCCTTAATAAGATATTAAGAACTTAATAAATGGTTATTTGAAAGCAGAGAATGGATTTATTTTAGCTCACTTTTGATTTGTTTGGAGACTGGATTTCTTATACAAGAAAATTAGTACTTATTTCATGAGAATATACAATAGATTAAGAGACAACAAAGGTGGTTGTACAAAGAGTTAAGTGTTGAACACCCAAATAGGTCATGATGACTTATCAGTAATTGAAAACAATATTTTGTGATCACACTATAGGGGCTGGCAAAAGTAGGCTTACAGTTATAGAGTACACAAAACAGAGTTTATTCTTTTATTATGATTTATTAATTATTGTATTATTTTCCGTATGAACAATTGTCAACCTATTTTTGCCCATCCCTGTAGTTCTCTGTGTGGGTTGTTTAGATTCACTTTAAATGTTTGACTTGTTAGCTATGGTAGATTTGAACAAACACAGAAAGCCTTTAAAATGTGGCCAGGTTGTTGTTTTAAATCCAAATCAAGCATTGATCATTAGGGTTCTGGCTTGGTATAAACTTAGAATTATTGTAATCTAATGTGAAGTTGTTCCATACTTATTTAGGAGTGGCCACTGATGACATTTCTATGATGAAACCATGCTGTAATCAACCCAACAACTTAGAAAGTTACCAGCATTTTTTTTTTTACACCTTTACATCTGTCAAACTTTTTGTTCACAATATGCTGAAAAAGTCATTGGAAACAAGCAAGCCATTTATCATTTTTCTTCCTCAAGAAAGAATGCACTTTTCTAATTAATGAGCAACTTTAATTTTAGATGGAAACAGTGACACAACAGGTCAACTGTACCGAATTTGAGTCAAGTCTTTTCTCGGTTTATAATTAAAAGGAGCTATTCTGGAAAGCAGATTATATATATAATTTTACAACTGAAGAGAGCCCACTACATATATATATGTAGTGGGCTCTCTTCAGTTGTAAAATTTCTTTTGAACTGATGGGAATTTATCTTACAGATGAGATTTGCAGACCATTGAAAATACAAACGTACTCCACAGCTGTGGGCAGTGATGTGCTAGAGCAGAGGGTTTACTCACAACTCAAGTTAGTCCACCTGGGTTAGATGCTTAGCTCCCCACTTATTAGCCTAGTAATTTCAGGCAACACATTTAGCCTTTTTGCAGCTCAGCTGAGAACACCATGGGGCCAATAATAGTGTCTACTTGCGGATTACAGGAGGACCGAATGAGTAAACACACAAAAGATACTTAGAACAGGCACTGGCACATAGTGAATGTTCAATAGATGTCAATTATTCTAGCGTGTGATAAAGTGAGGAGCTATCATTAGTCTTTTAATAGGATGAAGTATTGGACGCAATGCTAGTATTTATATTGGGTTTGTTTCATGCACTTTTTATAGAACCAAGTATGCTTTCTGGTCTGACCGCTTAAGGAAGCAGAGGATGGCTTCTCTAAGTGAAACTGGCCCCTGCATCAAGTGTGTGAAATCAGAGGAAGCTTGTCAGCCTGGGCAGACACAAGTGTAGACCAATGTGACTTCCCACTTCTCTTTTTTTTTATCTCAAGGAAATTAAGAGAGGGTGCTAATGTACATCCTTAAATTAATTTTTCCAGATTAATTAAGGCTTAAAACCTTAGTTTATTGTAGTTTTTGATAGTCATCTAAAACCACTGTGGTCATCCAAAAAATCTGTTATCTCTTCTAGTTTCAACTGTAGAATAAAAACTAAAATTTATCACAGCGGATTGTTACAGTAAGTCTGGTATTTATGTCTCCCAAGAGGCCATTTGGCTTCTGGGGAAAGGCAAAGGGGTGCCCTCCATTAATATATCTAATGGATGGTGTCATGACGTACAATTCCTTGTTGACCCCCTGCAATTCAGAGTTATTGTCTGGGAACATAAAACCTAATTACCTCATTTCACTGCATAGCTACTACCCATGTTAGGATAGGTTTGTGGAAGTTATCAGCCCATTGTTCAACCCAGACTTCAGACACTGCTGCTGCTTTACCATGCTTTCTCGGCCTTACTCGCCACGCAAACTAAGGTTATGACCAACGTTAGAGGGGAAAGGATGGATTCTTCTGGTTCCAGCTGCAGAACATCCTACCAGAGCAGGTGTACTACTTCCAAGTCAAGTTTGCCTTGGTCTCAGACTGTACCTTCGGCCGCTGGAGGGTGGAGCCCTCGCCGCCTGCTCCCCGGAGCGTGCGCCCGTCTGTGGGCGTCCACGGGGCACGCGCAGACACTCGGGGACCCACTTTCCCGAGGGTAGGGGGGGGCAGCCCAATCAAAGCCTCCCTCTCACCTCCGAGGCTGTCAACTCTCACGCCCCGCCCCGCGCGGCCGGCCCCCTCCTCACTCTCCCATCGGCCCCGCCTCCCAGGTTAGAGCTCCCACTGTCATTGGCGGATGCTTCTTTCACTCCTACTCGGGAACCAGTCGCTCGCGTCCTGATGGGGGGCGGCAGAGCCAATGGGAATGCCCGTGGTGGCCGCTGCCGGGTCCCCGAGCGCCGGGGGGCGGGTCCGGGGGGCGGGGCCCGGGCGGGGGAATTAGTTGCCTTTTGGAGTGAGCAGCAGCGGGCTGAGGCGGCGGCGGCGGCGGCGGTGGCGTTTGCGGTGGCGCGGGCTCCCCGGGGACTGGGATACCTCCGGGCCCTGAGCCTCCAACCCGGTCCCCAGCAGCAGAAACCCCGGCCCTCCCTGCAGCCGCGGGGCCTTTCCTGAGCGTGCAGCCCCCGCCTGGCTGCCAGCGGCCCCGGAGGCTGCGGGATCCGGACGGTTGCCTCTCTTCCCCGCTGTCAGCGCGATGCCCCGGGCGGCGGCGGCAGCGGCTGCAGCTGCAGGCTCCTCGCGGCCCCGGCCGTGACCGCCACGCCGCCGAGCCTGACCGGGCGGTTGGGGCCGTTGGACGTTTGTTTTCGCAGCCTTCCCCTCCCCCTCGCCCCGGCGGCGGCGGCGGCGGGGTGCGCGTTGGGAAGGGGGAGCCCAGAGGCTCCGCCCCCTGCCGGCACCCCCGCCCCCTCCCCCTTACACACACTCGCACGCACCGCCGCGCCGGCTCCCACACGCTCCGCGCGCGCCTCCCGCTCGCCCCGCTCCGCGCCTCCGTGGTCGCTGGCGGCGGCGCCCCGGGCCCCGCGGAGCCACCATGTCCACTTCCACTGCCGCCTCCTCCTCCTCCAGTTCCTCCCAGACCCCGCACCCCCCGCCGCCGCAGAGGATGCGGCGCAGCGCCGCCGGCTCCCCGCCCGCCGCCCCCGCCGCCGCGGGGAGTGGGAACGGTGCGGGGGGCGGCGGCGTAGGCTGCGCCGCGGCTGCGGGCGCCGGGCGGCTGCTGCAGCCCATCCGCGCCACCGTCCCCTACCAGCTCCTGCGGGGCAGCCAGCACAGCCCCACGCGCCCGCCCGCCGCCGCCGCCGCCGCCGCCGCCGCCGCCTCGCTGGGCAGCCTCCCGGGGCCCGGCGCGGCCCGCGGCCCCAGCCCGCCCAGCCCGACGCCGCCGCCGCCGGCCGCCGGGGCCCCCATCGAGCCGGCGCCGCGAGCCAAGGGCCGCCCGAGACGGTCCCCCGAGAGCCACCGGAGGAGCAGCTCACCTGAGAGGAGGAGCCCGGGCTCGCCCGCGTGCAGAGGTAGCGAGCCCAACCCTCCCGTCCTCCCGGGCGGGCGGCGTCCCCCTCGACGGTGCCCGGCGCGGAAGCGGCCGCCGCTCCCGGGCTCGCTAGGCTGGTGCATTCACTGCCCCAGGTGTGAGCGCGGCGGCTCGGGAACCTCACTCACCCTCTGCGGTCGGTCGGTCGGTCTATCGCGGCGGGGATCGGTGGAGCGGAGCGGAGCGGGACTGCGAAGCCCAACTTCTATTTAACCCCCCCCCCCTCACCCCCCTGCTGCCCCTCCGATTTTATCTCCCATCCCTCACCTGCGCGCGTGCAGAGGTGTTTTCAATGGAAGGGGCTGATGAGCTCACGCATGTGTGTGCTGTTTGCTGCGGGGGAGGGATGGATGGAGGGTGGAGGAGTTGGGGCGAAACACCGTAAGAAACACGCACACAAACTCTCTCCAGCAGCCTCTTTGTGCTTTCCTTCCAAGTTCCTAATGTCTGGGACTCCCCGGATGGTTCTTTTTTTTTCTCTTCTTTTTTTCCCCTTTACTTTCTTTTTCTTTTTTGGAGGGGTGCTTGCGTTAGTTGTGATGTAAGGATATATATTGGTAAGGGGACAGTTTTGGGATGTGCAATTGCAGTGTATAGTGTTTTGTTTTTGCTAACCACCCCCCCCCCCTTGTCTACACCCCCTCCCTCCCCCGCCGTCCCTATTCTATATGGTCATATGCATCAGAGCAGTACTTCACTGGAAACAGCTTATGCCCAGTTTATTTTTTTTTTCATGGTAAATTTTAAAGATCTGTTTGTGAAGTGTGCTCAGTTTTTCCACCCCCCCCCCTTTTTTTTAAAGTACACCTCACAGTCCAGTTGAGCTGTTAAAGGATCTCAAGTTTCTTTCTTTCTTTTTTTTTTTTTTTTTTTTTGTTGGGTGTCAAAGGTAATGGTGACTTTGGATGCTGGCGGCTTCCCTTAAGGTTTTCTGTTTGAGTTCGGTTTTGTTTTTATGTCTAGAGGGACACAGTGCATGATGTAGTTGAGTCACCGGGGAGAAAAGGAAGATTAGCCAAAACAAGGAGTTAAAGCTCATGGGGGAGAGGAGAGCAGCTAAATATTATTAGATGCCAGGCTAGAGCCACAGATGCCGCCGCCGCCGCCGCTGCATTGTGGAGAGAAGAGATCAGACTAAGTGGGAAATCTGCTGGGAAGAGAGACGCTGTGGAGCTGAGCGCGCTGTGCAATGTTTATGTGGTATGTGGAATATTTTTACGGCGTTTCCTTGATGAGGGTCTCAGGACTTGGAGAAAGTGGCTGTGTGAGGATAGATGACAGCTTTGGTGTTTTCGTTTTAATATTTCTGACCTGTAATTAACATGTTGCCAAGGCACTTGTTTTCAGACCACTTGATGGTGAGGCAAGGTAGGATGCAGTAGCACTGGTATGTGCACATGAGCACCAAGAAATACATCCTGTAATCTGTATGCACCAGGAGGAATGTGCTCCCCCGCTCTTCCCCCAGGTCGAGCCAGCTGCTGCAGAAGCTGACATCCTCCAGCAAATCCTGAATGAATGAATGAAAACAACGTGATCGCCCTAATAATGACCACCACTGAACACACATCTTTGGTTGTATTTTATAGGAAAGGCCACCATTTTCTAACAGATTAATGCCATATGCACCTCTCTCGCACATTTTCTAGAGCTGTATGAAATGAGAGGTAACAGGATGAAAAGAAGGCAGCAGTTACATTTTTTTTTTTTTTTTGAGTGATCTAGCTTCAACAGGGTATAGATTGAGTTTTGGGATTTTCTTTTAGGCACTCATATGAGAGCCATAAAATAAGCATTCCAGACAGATTGTGTACAGAGGGTTTTGTGGGAGAGTAAGAGTAGTTTCGGCAATTGCTACAACAATATAATGGCCATCTAGTACCTCCTCCTCTTTTGTTGATAAACACTAACATCTTAAAACAGATCATAGTACAACTTGTTTTTCTGCATCCTTCCAAAGCCTTAATTGCTTAGGAATTACATGGTCCATCATCAGGCAGTTTTAATGAAATTTGTGATCAGGCTTAAACTATCCTCTTTGTTGTTTGTAGTGTGGCACATCCAAGTTTAATGCAATTTTAATGCAATCATGATGAAAACACTTCTGAGTTTGGGTGTTCAGTAGACAGATTTGCATCATCAGAGAGCTTGTACTGGGAATGGAAGAGGCTGTTCTGCTGGTTTTAACACGGGTGGTTTTGTCAGTTTCTTACATTGAAGTGATTTTGAATGCAGACTCTTCTGCCCCCAGAAAGCTACCCAAATTAAAACTACAACTATTCTGTTCTGTTTACTTAGCCATTTAAAATCCTTACTATGAATAGTTGGACAATTTCTCAAACAATGACTCAGTTTCTTTTGAATTCTATAAGGTTCTGACTTCAGTGGGTTTTAGTCTCCACAGGTCAAGGTTCCTGCCGCTGCCTCTGCTGCTGCAGACACTGACATCACTATACTGCATGAATGAAAACAACGTGCTCCGTCTCTTCTCTGCACCTCCTTCCTTTTCTGCACACTGCTCTGGTGTGTGTGTGTGTGTGTGTGTTTAGATGGTGTGATGCTGGGTATGAAAGTACATTTAAAATGTTAAGTAATGTATTTACTATAGAGGCATATTGTTTACAAGAAACTAAGTGCTGTGAGCATTTCGACTCGAGGTGACATAACTGAGCATTCAATATTTTTTTTTGTCTGGACTGGTAGTTATGGAAGAAAACATAGCTTTAAATAATTTTCTTTGGAATTGCCTTACCAGGAAGAAATTATGAAACAATATAATTTCTTAACATATTAGCTCATTGTTGTATCCCTCTCAAACACTTTTAATATGCATAGTTATAGGATTAAGGCTAGAGTTATAAAAAATGGTATTTAGACTTTTTCACTAGACTAAGGAAAAGCTGAATTTTTTAGATAAGTGCATTCGAATTTAATGTGATCTTTTATAAAATATGGCAAGAGGATGCTAACTTCCTTTATTTTTATAGCAGTTTTAGTCTATTTAAATGACAGATACATAAATTTCCAAATGCATCTTATTTCTATAGAAAGGACATGGAGTTTTACAAATTGGAACTATCCTGTTCATGCACAGGAATCTTCTTTTTGTATTTTTAAAAATTTGTTTGGTATTTTTAAGCCTTCAAGGTTTTATTTATTTATATTCATCTCTTTACTTCTGCCATTAACAAAATGTCACCCTCCCCTTCTTTGGCTCTGAAGGGTCTTGAAGTGGTGAATGACAAGCTATTGAATGCATCCTCAGGCTCCCTGTGATGTGTTTGTAATAGATGTAAAATCATAAAGTATTATGCAAATAGTTATTTTTTTTGTAATGGTAATACATAAAGTGTACCTTTGAGATAAATAGGACAACAAATGAGAATATAACAGGTACTGTTAAAATTAATGATCTTTAAGCTAAAATCATTAGTAACAACCAAAAGAAAATATAATAAAGTTGTTTCTTTCTGAAACCTCATACAGTAAAACCTATGGACTTAAAAACAGAACAAATACAGTTTTCTCTGGGCTAGATAGTAGGCAGCATTGCAAGGTCTCTGGTGATTTTTGTAAAGATTGAGCATTAGAATGAATTATAAATTCTAAAAGATATGAAAACATTTGTATTGGAGTACTCTGGATGGAGAGTACTGCTTATTTTTAAGTGTAACAAATCTAGTTAACAAAAACATGGAAGAGCTTGTTATTCTTATAGCTCCTGCTTTGGAAAATAGCATGTGTTGATTTCTGATTTAACCTAACATTTATTTAGGCCTAGTTGTTTCAGCAGATTACTAATCCTAGAGTGAAATTTGATTAGAATTTTTCATGAGTACCTTGAGGGCCTTATTGTCTTACACATTAAGAAGTTACAATTATATTTTTAAAAGAAAATGCAAAGCCAACCAGCATGTAATGTTGAAAGACAGCATGCATGTGTGTGTCTGTGTGTTTTAATCACTTAATTTGCTTTCAGTTTTTTATATCTTCATTAAATTTCCTTTTATGAGTCATTTTATGCTGTGCTTAGTATGTGGAATGCCAATATTTTAAATTACTGTTTTCTTTGGATTTTAAAAGATACTCAGACATTCTCTTCCTATAAAGTTACTCCTCAGGTGTATGTTCTCGGAAATTAAGGTTCTCCTCCAGTCCCCCTCTTGTAAAATTAAATTTCTTCGATTACTTAGATGAATCTGTTTCAAAAAGTTCATATACTAAAGTGAAAATAAAGTTTTGGCTTTTTTTTTTTTTTTTTTTCTCCTGAAGTGACAGGTTTCAAATACTCATTTTTGGAAAAAGTTTTCAACCTTTGAGAACTACACTAAATACCAACAACATTCATTATTTATATATCTAATTTTCCTCGTCAATTATAGTGCATAAAATTTCTAGCTCAATGAGTGAATGGCAAAATAGATAATGAATTTATAGAAGTAATTTATTCTTAAACTACTATCTTATGTTCAAAGATTATATTCCTTTCAAATAACTATTACCCTAAACATACCAGTCCTGAATACCATGTACCTAAGGTTTATCAAAGCACCTAGGTAATTTTCGCTCTATGTAAAGTTTTGTGTGTATATATTGAACTAAAAACTATTTTGTCATTTTAAGTACTTTTTACGGAAGGACATTTCATTTACTGCAGTGTACATTTCTTCAAGGGTTTAATGCAAATTAGGATTTATATATTGGGGAAATGTTGAAGTTACCAGTAATGGCATCCTTGTGGTTTTTATTTTGTGATAATGGGAACTAAATGTGAATTAGAAAACAAAGGAATAATTGGCCTCCATGGCAATGAATAGCAATGGAGATAGTGACAACGTTCATCAGTGGCTAATAGGAAAGGGTTTTACTTAAATATTAAATTTTTAAAAAAATTTAAAACCTGTTTTATTAAAACCTACACATGTAACTAAAACTTTCACATCTGTTAAGGAGTGTATACTAATGACTTTGCTATTCCTA